TGGGTGCCTTTCATCCTCTCTCCAGGTTCATAGGGTTTCTGGAGGCAAGCTATTATGGAAGTGGATGCCACTCCTGCTTCAAAGCTTGTTTTAATCGGGGAGCTCCACTCCACTCTCTGTCCGCATTGGTAGCCAACCATTAACGCATTTGACACATCAGTGTCACAGTGTTCAGCCTCACAGCAACCCAAAGTGACTGCGGTTCGGCAACTTGTACACTAGGGCTATACGACCTGGAGGAATGTCTGAACGAAAACAATGAAAGACAGGCCTGAGGGCCACAGATTAAGTCACCCACCTTTGGCTTGGTAGCATCGCTTTCTGTCCACTGGGCCAGTTGATCTCTCTCTCTATGTTGATTGATATCCTGCTCTGGTTGCTAGGAAGCAAAAAGCATTTTATGTTTACATTTCTTCATTCACAGGCAGCTGAAGAAGTTGGATGAAGATAGTTTAACCAAACAACCAGAAGAAGTGTTTGATGTTTTAGAGAAACTTGGAGAAGGGTGAGTATACAGGTTTTATAGGTAGACGGACTGATTCTGTGGCCCATGCTGGGTTGTGCTGCCATCCCAGAGGCTACAAAGTTCAAATTCACCAGCGGCTCCACGGGGAGAAATAAATGCAAAAATGTTAATCTGAATCTTGGATTACTTGGAGTAGTTTTTGATGGGTTGGCTGTTTGTACAAAAACAATAGTTGTCTTTTTATAAGGATTGTGTTAGATTCTGGAGGTGTCATTCTTTCTGTGTTTTAAAGAAATCGTATGGGTCTGTAACAGAGTAACGGCCGAGTCTACTCAAGGCCAGGATAAATGGAGAGCACTTGGAAAATGTTTTGAACTGTGCCTGGCCCCTTCGTTCTGTGTGTTTAACATTTTACGTATTATGTCATTTTTTATCATGTTGTTGTTGCGTACCGTCAAGTTGGAACCAACTTATAACTGACCCTTAAGCAGATTTTCAGAGGCAGTGAATTGCATGGGAGGAGATTGCCCATCATTCTCCTGCAGAGCAGCAGGTAGATTTGAACTGCATACCTTTGTGCTGGCAGCACAACTCCTTACCCCTAATCTACCAGAGCTCCACTGCTCTGAGGCTGTAAATTTACTTATCATTTGTTTTCAGTTGTGATTTAAGTGAAGGTTTACACAGCAAATTGGTTCTTCATTCATACACATTTTGATTTAGAACACTGATTATAATACCCACAGTGTAATCACATTTCTCACCTCCTCTCATTCTCATTTCCATTAGTTCTTCTCTTTTTTTAATGACACCAAGAGTCTTTATTGGTGGCTACAGAGAGAGAAAGAGAACACGACAGCTTCTGCTTCTGAGCGGCGTTCTGAGGCTTGGACTGTGAACTTGGAAAGATAGTTCTTTCTTGATGAGATTTGACTGCCTCATATTTCTCTAATAGAGAGGCTAGCTGGTGGTTTTGAACTGCCACCCTTTTGGTTAGCAGCCAAAAGTTACATGTTATATGGTTAACAAGTAACACAATATGCCATCAGGTCGCCTTTGTAACTTACCAAGTTTTTATTATTTTGTTTAGCCATTGCCACAGTCTTTATCCACTGAGTCATAATTCCTGTTCTCCAAATTAACTCCAGACTTTGTGAGTGCTGTAGGTGTGAAATAGCCTAAGCTTTCGGAGCTCTCTTCATTTTCAACCTGGCATAGAAAGAGACATGGAGAATTTTCTGGGCAAGATTGCTGATTGGTTCGTACACAGATGTCTCTCCACTTCAGGCACAGAAGAAAAATGAGTAATTTTTTTTTTAAATTTAAATATACGTAGTTAGCTATGACATCTCAGACATCTTGTAATCACAGGACTGCAATACCACCACCAAGTTAGCTCTAGACCAGGAGAAGGAAGGCATGTCTTTTCCTTGTCAGGAGATGGCACTTCGATATTGTACCCCAGAATAGATGTGGAGAGAACTCAGGCTTTGTATTCAGACACACCTGAGTTTAAATCCTGGACTGAACACTTATTTTTAAACTACATTTGATCTTAGACAAAAGGCTGAGAAACGATGAACACTTATATAAGTGGGAAGTTATATGACTTCTCTGATACCTTTAATATTTATCTGTAAAACAGGAATAACTCCCCTTCCTTACTTTTTATAAGGATATAGCAAGATGATGCTCACTTTCTCCCATACAGCATCAAACAGGCAACACATAATAACTACACTTATTATTTTGTAACTTATAAGAAGAATGGGAATCCCAGAACCTTTGATTGTACTAGTGCAAAACCTATTCGTAGACCAAGAAGCTATTGTCTGAACAAAGCAAGGAACACTGCATGGTTCAAAATAAGAAAGGAGTGCATCAGGGCCGTATCCTTTCTCTGTTCCTTTTCAATTTGTGTCATTCATTAAAATGTGTAGTTAGTTCTTAAGATGTCATGTTGTGCTGGTTTTCTTGGGCAGTTTTTCTCCAAAATAGGACTTCAGCTTTCTGTTTCTGAGTGTAGCTGAGAATGTGTGTGTACCTGGGTGTACAGTAGTGTGTGAGTGGGTGTGTGTCTGTGTGTATTGGTACTGGGACTTGTGGATATAAATTAGGACTGAAAGTTGCTTGTGTTTGATCATTCTTTTCTCCTGGTTTTCTTTGATTTTACAAGTGTTTTCCTCCTGGTTACAGGTCCTATGGCAGCGTATACAAAGCTATTCACAAAGAGACTGGTCAAATTGTTGCTATTAAGCAAGTTCCTGTGGAATCAGACCTGCAGGAGATAATTAAGGAAATCTCTATAATGCAGCAATGTGACAGGTAAAGGCACCTGGTTTCCTTTGGAGAGAATATTTACGGTTTGATTTCTAGAGATGCATTTATTTAGATATTGTGCCGGAGTTTAATGGAATCACTTTTTAGGAAACCAGACGGGAAAACATTTGCACGATTTTGTAGCCGAACCTCTATAGTTTATTTCTGCATAGAGCTTTTTGTTTTTGTCTTTTTCCCTTTTTTCATAAGCCCTTTTAGAAACGAGGAAGAAGAGGCATAAGCAGTGCTCGCCCCACCCACCTCCCACCTGATAGTGATCTCTTTACTTCCTATTGAGAAACCATTTCTTCAGCTACAGCTAAAAAGAGAGGATTCAGAGGTTTTAAATGCAAGATACATTAGAATATCCCATAGATTTATGAAGAGAATGTGTATGTGTTACTCTTTCTTCACGTTTTCAAACACTTACTCAAGCTGAGGGTAGCTAAGTGGTTCATTTTTGAGGAACTAAGATTTGTCCGATGCTGTAAGCAGGAAATCAGGCCATCAGGCGACCGCAGAAGACCACGTGGCCTGCACTATAATTCCGTGACGACACAGGCTGGTCGCTATGGTGGAGGAGGCTTCCCCTCTGCTGCTTGAAGCTAGAGAAGTACCAGCGGAGGGGGAGTGCCCTTCCTGATGGGAGCGGGGCTGAGGGGGCCTTGCACCGTCCATTCTTCTGAAGCCCATTTACTCAGCAGACAATTTAGTCCCACTCATTTGCATCCACTTCCTAAACAACATGCCTCCAGAAACTCTGTGAACTTTGAAAATGTCGATAGTTGTAGAGGGGTTTCAGGCCTTTTGTTCATAGGGTCATTATGAGTCGTGCTCAACTTGAAGGCAATCAACAACAAAAACAACAACAACATTTGCAGAACTTTCAACTTAGAACAGGTGGGGCTACACAGAGTCTCACAGACCTGTGAATACAGAGTTCTTTCTTTTCTTAGTTTTTACAGTCAACTAGATCAAACTCCCATGTTTCTTTTTAAAAATGTAATTTGAGTGAGAGTTTATAAATCATAGGGTTTTTCATGGCATCATTTATACACATTTTGTTTTTTAACATGAATTACAGTTGATGTAATTGATTAATACAGTACCTGTGATCAGCTTCTTTTTTTATATATTAACTTTCCTGTCACCTGACTTCATAAGTGTCAGTTATCCATTTATTGATTTCCCTCCTTCCTATCCCTGGCAATCACCCAAGAAGGATTCTTTCTGTGTGTATCCTTTCCCTAGCTCTTTATAATGATGGTCTTATACTAAAATTACCTTTTTGTGACTGACTTATGTCACTTGGAATGAATTCCTCTAGATTCATCCATGTTATGCAACGTTTCACAAATTGTTTATCATTTTGTTATTGTTGCATAATACTCCATTGTGTGGTAGAGGCACCATAATTTCTATAACCCTTCCTCCGTTGATGGACACTTACTTGGAAAACCCCTGTTTTCTTGATTAGGGTGACCAGATTTAGGTAGTAGTTTTCCTTTTCCTTCTCTATAAGATACTGAACACTGTGACACTGATGTGTCAGATGTGTTAATGGGTGGTTACCCAATGCGGACAGGGTGTGGTGGAGCTCCCTGATTAAAACAAGCTTGGAAGCAGGAGTGGCATCCACTTCCGTAATAGCTTGCCTCCGGAAATTCTGTGAACCTGGAGAGAGCATGAACCCAAGCGTTGAGGACTCACCTTCATAGGGTAACTATGAGTCGCCTGAGACTCGACGGCACTTAACAACAACAACAACAACAACAACAACAACAACAACAGATACTTAACGGAAGTGTTTTCCAATTGGCAAATTGGAACTTTGGCACTTAAGATACACTGCTCCAAACAGAGTGTACAAATAAATGCCTTTGAGTAAAGAAGAGGGGTATATGAGGCGGCTACAATACTTGGTGTTTTAGGGAATACAAGAAAAACACGGGACATAGTTTTTGTTCTTTAGGGATTTGTAGGCTATGTGGACAGATTATCCGAACAGGAAGACCTAGCTGAATATATTCTGACAGCATCTGACAGCCCCTGTTATCATTGCCTGATAGCCCCAACACCAGAACCACTTCTGATTTGGTATAGGCCAGAGTAGACCTACCTGTAGAAGCAGATTGCTCCATTTTCCTCCACTGGGTTTGAAATGACCACCTTTCTGTTATCATTCTAGTGTTTTCACCACTGTGCCACTAGGAGTCCTCCCAATTGCCTAATAAAACTAAAACAACCTTCATTGTTGGTGAATTGGGACTGAGTACTAACCGACCCTCCAGTGGATTCAGAAGCTGTAAATTATACAGTAGGGTATGCCCATCCTTTCCCCACGGAGCAGCTGGTAGATTCGACTCACCTACCTTTGGATTGGAAGCGCAGCTCCTTGTCCATGAGGCCACGAGAGCTCTCTGAATTGCCTGGTAGAGGCAGTTAGCTATTGAGGGCTTTCAGGAAGGGAAAGCAGATGCGGGGCTCTGTACCTTAAAATGACGGGCAGCTGCCTTCCTCTCCTCACTGACGAGTCATCCTGTGTTTCGCCCCCCCGTGTTTTCTTTGCCGCTGGCATGTTTCCCAAGGATTTAGGAGCATTTGGGATTCCAAGAGTGAGGACACTGAGTTGCTTTTAGCATCGGCAGTTCTTAGGCAACATTAATTTGATCTGATGACAGTCTGGTCAGTGCAGATTCTGTCATTTCACTGGTAGGCCTGGGGACCCTCTGCAGTTACTTGCATGGTTTCTCTCTTCAAGCTGGAGACTTAAATTCCAAGTCTGACCCTGATTACTTTGGCTTTTAAAAATTCTTTTTGATTTGAGTGATAGTTTACAGATCGTAATGACTTCTTATCCACCCATTTGTACTCATTTTATTTATAGCATTAATTAAAATTGATTAATGAAATTAATTATAATATCTGATCAACCCATTTATTGTATATTAGCTTTCCTTTTCCCCAGCTTATTACATTTTGCTCCTTTTCACCTCCCTTTCCATCTCTTTTAACCATCCAAGAGTTTTTCTTTTCTAAAAATGAAAATTGCTGTAATTGTTTGCTTTTTTCTCCCCTTCTTCTCATCTCTATTAACTTTCCAGGATTAATTCTGTGTACAAATCCTCCCTTAGCTTTTTATATTAGTGATCTCATAGCATGATTGTCCTTTTGTGACTGACTTATGTCAGCATGACATACTTTGCATAATTTGTTCTAGGTTCATCCATGTTGTACTGTATTCCACAAATCCTTGATCTTTTTTTTTTTTTAATTTTTTTTTTGTGTGCGTGTACCGTCAAATCAGATCTGACTGGTACAGGAGGAGATTGCCCCTCCTTCCCCGGCAGAGCATCTGGTGGATTCGAACCACGCACCTCTGGGATTGTAGTTGTAGCTTCTTGCCACTAGGCCACCAGAGCTCCCCAAATCCTTGATCTTTTTTGAATAATATGTAACACTCCATTTGGTGATTGTACTACAATATATTTTAACTCATCTGCTAATGGACATTTCCAACTCTTTGCTGTTATACAGAATGTTCCAATAAACATGGGGGTGTGTATCTCAGTTTGTGTTGCAGCTCTTTTTTTTTTAGAAAAAAATGTTCTTATTTTTTGTGTGTGTACTGTCAAATTGGATCTGACTGGTACAGGAGGTGATGGCCCCTCCTCCTCCAGTGGAGCATGGTTTCGAACCACTTAACCTCTGGATTACAGTGCAGCTTCTTGCCACTAGGCCACCAGAGCTCTCTTAGAGCTCTTTTTTTTTAATACTTTATTCTTATTCACATATTCCTGCTGGCCTGGATCAACAGCAACTCATTATCAACATCAACTCAGTTGTTGAGACCTGAATTTTTAAGGAGATTGTGGTGTGAATTTTTTACATACAAAAAAGAAGACATCCTGGGACCGCTGCTGTCATGGTGCCCCCCACGCGGTACTGCGTCCCAGTCGAACGTCTGTGTAATCTGGAGGAGGGCAGCCCTGGCAGCGGCACCTACACCCGACACGGGTACATCTTCTCATCGCTTGCCGGCGACCTGACCAAGAGCAGTGAGAACGGCCCGCTTCCTGTGGTGTCTGTGATGAGAGAAACAGAATCCCAGTTATTGCCAGATGTGGGGGCTATTGTAACCTGTAAGGTCTCTAGCATCAACTCGCGCTTTGCCAAAGTACACATCCTTTATGTGGGGTCCACACCACTTAAGAACGCTTTCCGAGGAACTATCCGAAAGGAAGATGTCTGAGCTACTGAAAAAGACAAGGTTGAAATTTACAAGAGTTTCCGACCAGGTGACATTGTATTGGCCAAAGTCATCTCTCTAGGTGATGCGCAGTCCAACTATCTGCTGACCACTGCTGAGAACGAACTTGGAGTGATGGTGGCCCACAGTGAGTCAGGAGTCCAGATGGTTCCCATCAGCTGGCGTGAGATGCAGTGCCCGAAAACCCACACTAAAGAATTCCGGAAAGTGGCGCGAGTGCAGCCTGAATTCTTACAGACCTAACTAAGAGGCCGCGTTTCGCTCCGTGGAGGAAGGTGATCTCATTCGGAAGGTCGTGTATGAAGGTAGCGTCAAGGTGACGTCTTCATTCAAGCAGCTAACACCTCTAGAAAATCAGCCAGAAACTTACTCTGTGATCACAGCATTTTTCACTACGAACCTCTCAGTGGTGCCCATTCTCTGGAGTGGTGGAACTTCCCATTTGGAAGCACCAGCAGACAAACTGTGTAATGTTAAAAATAGCTTCTGCCTCCTGAGACACCGTAGAAATGTGTGCTTTTTACTCTGACAAAGAAAACATTTTTATTAAAAAGATTTTATCACTTAAAAAAAAAAGACATATAACTTTTTTGTTTTTTTAATTTCTTTTACATGTAAATTTTTGAAAAATAGGCAAATAAATAAAAATAAGACAATAAAATCACTTGTAATTCCCTTTGCAGACACAATTAGTGTTAAATGCCTTGGTGTCTGTATCTTTGATATCTCTTTTTGGAATTTTGTTGTTGCTAAGTGCTGTGTGTGGAGTTGAGCATGATGACATTTGGCCACCCTGTGAACATCAGATCTGAACCCTGTCCTGTCCTGCGCCATCCTTATTCTCTCTCATATGCTTGATCCCATAATTACAGCTCCCATGTCATTCCATCGCGTTAGGGTGGCGTGGGAACAGCCGATTCTGACTTCTCTTATCTCCACCGGGGAGTTACTAAACTGTTCCTATCAATAACATCCACAGAACAAAAATAATTCCTGTGGGGTCTACATGATCTCCGTGCTCTCACATTTACTTCACCTAACTCCAACACCCGTTGTACTGCTGTACAGTTGAGACCAAGCCTGATTCCTAAACCTGTTGCAGTGGCCACACAGATTTCACAGAACTGTGTTTCTGTAGTTAGGAGATTTACTAGGAAGACGGAGAGGTTATAATCCAGTCGGCAGCAGGTTACAGTTCCTCAGTCAGGAAAACTTCTCAGGTGAGCTGGCAGGTCAGTGTTGGGAAGCTCCTGTGGTCTTGTTGGTTATGGCCTCCAGCAAGTTTGGGTGAAGGCCCCTTGCCCTGGCTCGCTGGGGCAGCAGCCCCAGGTCAGCTCTGCTTCCTGTTGTCTCTGTCTCTCCTCTGAAGCTGCTGCTGCTCTGCGGTGGGAGTTTTGTATTGTTTTCCACGCACTCATAATGATATTTAGTATTTGGTATATTGTTATTTCTTTAACCAGCTCCCTAATGTTAGACATGTAGGTGGCATCTGCATCCACATTTTCAATTTCATAAACAGCACTATGATGATAACTATTTTTAACCTCTAATTCTTCGGCAAAGAAATTACTGGGTGAAGGGATCTGAATGTTTTTTAAAAAATAAATATATTTTTTAAATTTATACTAGTTTATTTACAAAATTGGAATACATTGTTTTTCAGACCAGGTAAATTTTTAAAAGACAATACATAGCATTTTCTGGAACCTTCCTTGTATAGATTGCATTTTAAATGTCATATTGAAGGAGGATTTTACAATTTTTTTAAAAATTAAATTTTTTATTTTAATTGTCATTTTAACAGAAGTTTATAGAAAAGTTAGATTTTCATTCATTCACTGTTTCACATTTTACCCCCTCTGCCCCACTTCCCCCTCTCCAAGTTGACTTTTCCCCCCATTTCATTAGTTTATTTGGGATCTGAATATTTTTTGAGTCTTTATTGTTTAATTCTCTCTAGAAAAGCTTTTACGTTCTTACTAAAAGGGCACCTGTTCTAACCTTGAATTGGTATTACTCTCTCGAACCGCGAAATTAATTTTTATGTGTTTAACACCACAAGTTTATTAAGATTTTTGAGTTCTCTTCCACTGGTTATTTTCTTTATCCTGACCCAGCCTTTCTTTCTCTCCAGCCCTCACGTAGTCAAGTATTACGGCAGCTACTTTAAGAACACAGACTTGTGGATTGTTATGGAGTACTGTGGGGCTGGCTCAGTGTCTGATATTATTCGATTACGAAACAAAACGGTGAGTTTACCCTCCAGGCCGAGCCGGCCGAGCTGTGTCTTCTGCCGTCTTCTTTGGCCTTTCATTCATGGTCATTCCTTTACTTTTATGTCTGCATTCGGCTGCTCGTTTCTCCTGTTCTGCTGGCTTTCCCCATTTATGCTCTTTTGTTGTTACTATTGTTGTTAGTTACTGTCAGGTCCACTGTGACGCATAGCGACCCTCTGAACAACAGACCAGAACCGAGCCCTGTCCTACACTGTTGCTCTCTGACTTCTCCTGAATGTGACAGCTTTGAAACCAACCCAGTCTGGTCCTACAAGTTTCTCCTGCTTATTTATTTTTGAATGTATTTTATTTTTTCTTCAGTGAAAATAAACACAGCAAAGGGTACACAGCTTTAACAAATTCTTACATGTACAATTTAGTGACACTCAAGTTTTACAGTCTTTAAGGTTTTTCTTTCTTAAAGAATTCTGACTCATGGGATCCCACATGTGTCAGAATAGAACTGTGTTTTGTAACATTTTCTTTTTAAAGGGTTTTTGGTTTTGTGTGTGTTTCTGTGTATGTGTGATATGAGTAACAGTTCACAGCAGAAGTTGATTTTCCATTCAACAAATCATACACCTTTTATCTGCAGTCAGACAGCACTCTTCCTATTTCCTCCTTGGGTTTACTGTTTCCATTCCTTGTCCATTCCTGTCTTCTGAATTCTATTCCTAAGCCTTTTTGATCTTACGTGGTGACTTGTTCTAAGGAGCATACACCTCTTGGGTGTTATTTTTTTTTTATCTTATAGGTGTGTCTATTGTTTGCAGAAAGTTGGGCTAAAGGGGTGAATCCAGGCTTACAAGGTGACTTAAAGCTATAGTCTTGGAGGTACCATCAGTCTCTCTCTACCAGACACATAAGCCCAGTCATTCTGCACATTTCTCACTGGGAGAAAATTGGCTATCAAATTGGCAGTGCATTTTAAATGTTTCCATTTGAATTTTAATTTCTTCTCATTCCCAGCGTGTTCACAGATAAACTTTTCTTCTACATCTTATATCAGGAGACCCTGGGTGATGCAAAAGTTTAAGCACTTAACTGCTAGCCTAAAGTTTGGCAATTTGAACTCACCTAGAGGCACCTCAGAAGGGCCTGGTGATGTCCTTCTAAAAGGTCACAGCCTTCAGACCCTTTGGAGCAGCTCTGCTCTGTGCACAGGGGTCACTGAATCGGAATGGACTTGACAGCACGTGACAGTAAAGAACCTTCTGTGATATAATCAAATCTGAAAGTCGGCTTCATCATGAATCAAAGAATCATGTCATTGCGCCATCGGAGGGGTTTGGACACATTTAGGGAGCTCTAGTGGAATAGTCTCTAGAGAGTTGCTTTGCCAAGCCAAAGACTGCGCTTCTCTGGCAGTTCGAACCCACTCGCCCCTCTGCAGGTGACAGTTTCCTCCTGTGCTGTTTAACCTTGCAAATCCAGTGATGGGTTAGACCTGATAGCAGTGAGGGGCAGGGCGGGTGTGTGTGGGGAAACTTACTTTTTAAACTGTGGCTGCTGAGTAGAATTAGGAAGACTAGTTTAAGAGATTATTAAATAGTTCCAGTAGATCATGACAGTGGCTTAGATCAGGTGATAACAGCACATATATTTTGAAGATGGACAAGACAACCTGAGGCTTTTGTAAGAGCAGCTGGAAGAGTTCATACATTGCCTTTTACTCAGGGAAAGGGGAACATTGAGAAGAGGTAGAAATAAAATTTGTTTTTCATGTGTTATGTTCATGACAGCTGTTAGATAATCGGGTAGAGACGTTTGAATGGGCAGGTGCATGAATGCGCCTTTGCGGGAGAGCTCTGGGCTGCAAATAGGACCATGGGAATGGTCAGCACATTGATGGTATCCTAACAAACCATGACTCCCACAGACAGAGTAAGACATTATGTTTATGTTTATGTTTATGTTTATGTTTATGTTTATGTTTGATTGATGTTGTTTGGATCTAATTTCCTTCCTCTCCCTCCAGTGCATATGCAAGCTGATAGAATGAAATTGCATTCCTTTTTCAGTTATCAGAAGATGAAATAGCTACAATACTGCAGTCAACGCTCAAAGGACTAGAATACCTTCATTTCATGAGAAAAATACACCGAGATATCAAGGCGGGTAATATTTTGCTCAATACAGAAGGACATGCAAAGCTGGCCGATTTTGGCGTAGCAGGCCAACTTACAGTAAGTAGCAAATGTTACTTGTATTGATCACTTCCAGCCCTGACTTGAAATCAGTTCCTTGTATTCATTTATTTTTTAAGTGATGTGCTTACCGCATTTGTAAAAAAGGAAAAATTGTGCTAACTAAAAAAACTTTACTAACAGATTAGAAAAGCGCTACTAGTTTATTTCCTTCCCAGGGTGTTGGGTCACGCGGTTGACTCTTTATGGGAGTGTTTAGCTTTGACAGAACTAAAAATGTGGGAAATGATGGCTGAGTTCTGTTAATCAGCATGTTCTAAAAAGGAAGGGACGTTCAGCACCTAGTCCTTTTCTTGAATAAGGCAAAACATCATTTTGTTCAACCTGCAGATGGTGCTTGAATGTTACTTTACTGAAATCATTCGCACGTGCGTCCTCGATACTGTTGTTGTTGTTGATTGCTGTCGAGTTGAGCACGACTCATAGCGACCCTGTGAACAAAAGGCCTGAAGCCCCTCAACAACGATCGACATTTATCAGAGTTCATAGAGTTTCCAGAGGCGTGTTTAGGAAGTGGATGCCACTCCTGCTTCCAAACTAGTCGCTTTATTATTCTCCTGCCTCACGGGTCCAAGGCAGTGCAAACACGTTTCAGACAAGCTGTCTAGAATGATTTGATTTTGTAAGATATATAACTATATATATGAAAGTATATCTAGGAAAAATTGCAAAATAGATACAAACTGAAATTTACAAGAACAGTATCAAGTGGTTTTCTTGGGTGGTAGAGACTGTACCTACATAGAACGTCATCACTGAGTTGATTTTGACTCATAGTGATACTCTGGGCGAGAGCAGAGCTGCCCCACAGGATTAGAAAGACTGTGAGCTTTCCGGGATCCCACTGCTGCGTCCTTCCCCTGTGGAGAGCCAGGTGTGTTCGAACTGCAGATGTTTTGGTTAGCAGCTGAGCACTTGACCACTGTGGCACCAGACTTGGTATAGTTGAATTATAATTAAATGGTACTGTTCCCAAAGAATATTGAATATACCATGAATTGTGAGAAAGAAGGAACAAAGCGGTCTTAGAAGAAGTAAGTCAGCACACACTCCCTGGAAGTATTTCATTTCACCTGTTGTTGTTACTTGTTGTTGAATCGAGTGACTCATAGCCGTGTACAGAATAGATCTGAACCCTGCTCTATCCTGAGCCAGTCTGTCTCTGACACACCTCCCCCCATTACACTAGTTATTGTGTCAATCCATTTCATCTGGGGTCTTCTTCTCCTGCACTGCACCTCCACCCTCCCAAGCATAGTATCCTTCTCCAAAAACTGGTGCGTCCTGGCCACAGGCCCAAAGTATGTGAGTCAGAGTCTTAAAATCCTTGCCTCCAAGGAGCAGCTTGGTTTCCCCCTCTCCAGGACAGACCTGTTAATTCTCTTGGAGGTCCACGGTATGTTCAATACTCTTCTCTAGCACCACAGCTCAAAGGCATCGATTCTTCTTCTGTCAACCCTAGTCATTGTCCAGCTCTCTGATGCATAGCAAGTGATTTCATTTCACCTACTTGTTTAAAAAGTAATTTTAGTCTGGTTAAGCGTGATTTATAGAAAAACAAAAAGATGACATGAAAATAACTTTTACTAGGCTTATCAGTAAAAATATCCACTTTATCAAGTAAATTTTGACAAATGTAACAAAAATGAAAAAATATAACAAGTCCTTTTTGTAAAAGAGAATTATTTACTCTCCCTCCCCTTCCCCGCAATAATAGGTGATGAGGTCCTGTTTCTTTTCTGTCTTAGAAATGTAGTGTTCATATACTGATTTTTTATTTTTAAAATAATTTTTTTTATTCTGTTTAGATGAATGTTTACACAACCAGTTAGATTCCCGTTTAACAATTGTTATATAAAGTGCTTTGTGTCACTGGTGATTTCCACACCCTGTTAGTGTTCTCCTTCCCAGTTTCCTCTGGGTTCTTTAAGTAGAGCATTCCTGGGAAACCATTCACAAGCTGAAATGGCAGAAAGCAGAGATGGAGTCACCTTTTGTTTATATGGGAAAAAATTTTTAATGCCCTCAGGCCCCAAAATTTGCCTACTAAATCATGAATCATCGTTGAGTCAGTGGTATACAAGAGCAACGACCCAATAACATTTAAAACCCAAGATAACACCATAGCACGTACGTGTTCACAGGCACAGATCTGAGCTGGGGTAGCTTTGTGCTAAGCTGCTGAGTGTATTTGCTGGGGGAAGAGCTGGGAAGCTCCCCTCTCACCACCTCTTGAATGCCTCACAGCCGAGTGACCCAAATGCAGTAAATGGGTTTATTTTTTCTCTTGTTGAAAGTGAAGTGGCGTAAAATGAACTTTCAGAAGCAGGGGATACCTGTGCCTCCATTCGCTTTGTTCTGTCCCCTTTGACAATGGCCTGGCTGTGGATTCAAACTGCTATCCTTTCCATTAGAAGCACCACAAATCCTCCAGCAGACAACAAACTCGACTCGTTGCTGTTGAGTCAGAACCGACTTGGAGCTGACCCTCCAGTGGGCTTTCTGAGCTTGTGAGTGAGTGGAAGGAGATTACCCATCTTCGTCCTGTGGAGCCGCCGGTAGATTTGAACCTTTGGGTTGACAGTACAACTCCTTACCCACCAAGCTACCAGCCTATGCCACCAAAGGTCCCTAACAAATAGAATTATGCTCTAATAGAGTAATGAGAGAAGATCTTCACCCTGAAACCCACAGCGTCCCTTTTCAGCAGGAAGTAGCTAAGAGAATACGCCATCCCCTTTTCCTTATGACTCAGGGTGAAGTCTCTCTCAGGGAGGAGTGATAGGGAATGGCAAAGGACACACCGACAAAGGGATTAATCAGAACTGACTTTGACAAGCACTGTGGCAATTGGACAATTAAAACAGACATTCGGATGGCGGGGAAGAAGAACAAACTGGGGAGGAGGGTAGAGAGAATGATGCAGCAATGAAGGAATGAAAACCCAAAATCCCTGTAAATGTTCATTAAAACTAATAAAATTTTAAATAAAAAAAAAGAATTATGCTCTAAATAATCTGTTTTGTTTTGTTTGTTTTAACATAATGTGGTTTGTTTTTTTTTTTTTTTTAATTTCCTCCTTTGTTTACTTGCACAAATTGTGCAGGAGTGCTTTAGTTTTTCGGGGGATTGTTATTTTGTCCACTGGGGCTCACTCATCTTCTTTTTGTGTGCGTGATACTGTATTTCATGGATACTGATTGTCTTTAACTCACTCTCTTTTGATGTGGATTGTCTCATTTTTTTTTCTCCCTTCATCACAAACATTTCTGTAGTCTCTATTTATATAACTTTGGACATTTGGACACAGAATAAATTTCTCAAGACGGATCTGGAGAAGGCATTTAATAGTTTTAATACTCTCTGCCAAATTGCCTACCAAAAAGTGGTATCAATTCAAACTCCAGTAACATTGTCTATGAGTGCCTGTTTTTCACCAGCAATAGAAATTTTTATCAGATTTATAGGATGTTGCAAGCAGACCTTTAATTCCAAACAAGTTCTGTTCTTAAGACTGTCTTTAAGTCAGATTTGTATGTGAGTCACAATAATTAGGTAGAGTTCCAACCTAATGGCAGTTGTATTAGAGAGTGTTTTTCTATTTATATAAAACAATAAGGAAAGACTGTAATATCTTTAACATAATAATATACTAATAAGTTTATGTGTATTATAAAGTAACACCGATTTATTATTATGAGTCATTTTCTGTACCTTGAAATTTTAGTATAATAAATTTTGTAAGGTTTGACTGTTAACTCTGGGAACTATAGATATATAAAAATTGGATATTTGTAAGCGAGGGCTGCTGTATCTTGTTTCAGTTGATGTCTTAATGATTTATAATCTTTGTATATGTCTTAGTCCTTTGAATTTCTTTAGTGGATTTTTTAATCCTGTCTTAAAGATGAGTCTTAAGATATCTTCCAAATGCAAGGCATTTTTTTCTTGGAAGTCTCTCTTGCTTTTTTTTTTTTTAAAGATGTTTTTCAAATATAAGACCTTTTACTTTCTACGAAGATGGCACCGAAAGCGAAGAAGGAAGCCCCTGCCCCTCCCAAAACTGAAGCCAAAGCAAAGGCATTGAAGGCCAAGAAGGCGCCCTGAAGGGCGTCCACAGCCAAAAAAAAAAAGAAGATCCGCACGTCACCCACGTTCCGGCGGCCTAAGACGCTGAGACTCAGACAGCAGCCCAAATACCCCCGGAAGAGCGCTCCCAGGAGAAACAAGTGTGACCACTATGCCATCATCAAATTTCCCCTGACCACTGAGTCAGCCATGAAGAAGATAGAAGATGACAACACACCTGTGTTCATTGTGGATGTCAAGGCCAATAAGCACCAAATTAAACAAGCTGTAAAGAAGCTCTATGACATTGATGTGGCCAAGGTCAACACTTTGATTAGGCCTGATGGAGAGAAGAAGGCCTATGTTCGACTTGCTCCTGATTATGATGCTTTGGATGTTGCCAACAAAATTGGAATCATCTAAACTGAGTCCAGCGGGCTAATTCTAAATGTAATAAATTTTTCTCACCATAAAAAAAATATAAGACCTTTTATATTATTGGAAAAGTCAACTATTTTTCTCAGTAGTTTAAATGCTTAGTGTAGCCCTCTCTGCTTTGTGTTTTAGGATACCATGGCCAAAAGGAATACCGTAATAGGAACACCATTTTGGATGGCTCCTGAGGTGATTCAGGAGATTGGGTACAACTGTGTGGCAGACATCTGGTCGCTGGGAATAACTGCCATAGAAATGGCAGAAGGAAAGCCCCCATATGCTGATATCCATCCAATGAGGGTAAGGAAAGTGACACACAGCCCCTGGAGTTGTTGGTTACTGGTCATCGCTGGTAAAGGTGGTTCAGTGCCTTATGTGGTTTTGGACTGGACAATAAATGACTTCATTGTATATAAGTAATCAGTGTCATTCTAGACTCGAGAGGAAACAGTTGCAGTCCCTGATTGATCCAGCTGTCTCCATATTGTCCTCTGCAGGAGGATCGAGTGGCACTGTTCATAGGGAGTTATGCTGCTCACCTGTAGGTTGTTGTGGTGTTGGTAGGTGCTGTTGAGTCACCTGCAACTCATAGTTAGCCAGTTCTAATCCACTAGAGGCCTCTTGGGAGAAGAAAGAGGGACATTCTCCTCTTGTGTGATGTACAACATCTGAAAACCCACGGGAGGGTCAGTTATGACTGAGCTCTGACACAATGATAGTGAGTTTTTGGGTTCTTAAAATTTTCAGTACATGGTCACCAAAATGTTTAGTTTGTAATGTCTGATAGTTGAAAAGAATATCTTAGGGGCCTACCTTGCAGCGTGGTAATGTTAACAGAGCTGAGTAGTGCTAGTCTTTCTTTGTGGACGGGCCTTCCACTTACCAGTCCCTGAGGTTACCTTTTTTTTTTTACTTTTTAAAAAAATTTATTCTTAATTTTAATGAAAATTTACAGAGACTTTGGATTTCCATTCATTTATTGTTGCACTTTTCTTCCCTCCCAACCCTCCTCCCTAGTACACTCTTGGAAAAGTAAGAGAAAAATTCTTTCATTGTTTTACAATCCCTCCCCCCCAGGTCCACTCCACTATGCAACCTTCATTCTGGACTCCTGTCATAACAAAAATACCTAATGATTTTCCCTCTTAAACAGTTTTCTCCCTCATCTGTTTCAATGCAGTATACATTATTGAACCCATCCTTCTCAGTCTCCTCCTAACCCTGAGGTCAGTCCAGCTTTATAACAGTGGCACCATGCAGTATTTGTCCTTTTGTGACTGAGATACTTCACTCAGCATAATGTTCTCCAGGGTCTCCCATTTTGAATAATATTGCATGAGTTCCTTGTTTTTCAATGCAGCATAGTATTCCATTGTGTGAATATACCACAGCTTCTCTATTCATTCATTTGTGGGATTACCTTTTTATGTCAACCATCATCAATGCCTTTTAGTACAGTGTTTTTCTTAATATTGTACATAGAGTAGTGATAAGAGGAAAGCCAACTGGTTTTGTGGGTTTGTTTTAGAATTCTTGTCTCACACCAGGCCTGGTCCACTTATTGTCTGTTCCCTGCCTGGACCCTGTAGGCATTTGAGTTTGGACGTTCTGGTTTCTGGGTTCCCATCCTCTCTTATCTGTGCCCTCCAGCGTCCATTGCTCCTCGAGTGTTAGGGGATCACAGAGATGACATTTACGGGGAACGGCCTATTGTTCCTATGTTTTGCCTCCTCTTAGAAACCTCTGTCATGACACTCACAAACCCTGGAACTCCCTCCCTTTGCAGCTCCACCTCTCTGTAAGATCTCCCACCCCCAGCTCCTGTCTTCTCAGATTCATTCTTTATTATTAGCTTTTTTTAAAAAATTCATGGTCCCATTTCCAGAGATAAATCCTTCCTCTTGTGCCAAGTGGAAGAGGATGAGAAAATTTGCTAATGATATTTTTAGATTTAAAGAATATAGTTTAAATTGATTATTACAAAGAGTTTTATTTTACAAAAACCTGTGGCTTTTTCTTTATTTGAAATGAAAAAAATTATTAGTCATATTTTTAAATAATATAATTGAGTTGTAATTTAGTGGGCCAATGTTTTAATTGTATTTTTTTCTCGAGTATGTCAGATTGGCTTGGCTTGTAGGGGAATGAATCTTGAGTGATTTTAGGGACTTTTGAGTTTATGATTTCCTGGTAGTCATTGCCCATAGCCAGGGGGTGGTGGTTACTTTTAGGGAGGAGAGAGATTTGATAGCTGTGGAGCTGAGATTATCTTCTGGATTTAAATATTCTTACCTTTCCGCTTTGGAAAGCAAGAAAATATGGTTTATTTTGAAAAAATTGAGTTATTGTGAATTTTAGGGGATAAAACTAAATGGGCTAAGTGAAGAATGGGTGGGGACAGAGAGGAAGAGGGAAGAATGAGTGTGAGAGACAGATAGAACATACACAGAGTGATACATAGATAATCAGGTTCTCTAAGTGTCCATTTTTCTACTTTGAGAAACTTGAGACTCTTGTTGGAGTTTGAATGGGTTTTTCCATGGACAAGTGAAATATCCTTTTGCAAACTTCAGATGTAATTCCATGGAGATTTTTATTGGAGCAGCACTTTCATTCTTACAGGAACTTTCCTCTCTTTCTCAAACCAGGCAATCTTCATGATTCCTACAAACCCTCCTCCCACATTCCGAAAGCCAGAGCTGTGGTCAGATAACTTCACGGATTTTGTGAAGCAGTGTCTTGTAAAGAGTCCTGATCAGAGAGCCACAGCCACTCAGCTCCTGCAGGTATGATCCTCTCTGCTGCCTCTCTCCGCCACCTCCTTGGACATAGCAAAGATGACCTTCCCTGCCTCTAGGTTGGAATTTAATTGACTGGGAATGTTAAGTCATTGAATAAGACAGCACTGCAAGAAAATACAAAGGTCTTTAGTATTAAAGAAAGGAAATTGACATTTAGTGAGCATCTCCTGTATGCCTTTGTTTAGCATGTGCTGTGCCATTTTATTATCATACAAGCCCTGTAAAAGCAATGGATATTGTTTCGGGTCTACAACTGAAGAAGTGTAAGCTTACATAGGGTAACTTACTTGGAGATATTCAGCTGGTAAGTAATCAGGATTAGAGTCTAGGTCTTTCTGACATAGATTTACCTAACTCCAACAAAGAATTGAGTTCAGTGATACATGCTGTTGTAACTTAGGCTAGGCGGTGGCCTCTGGGATAGAGGAGTTAGGAAGGCTGAAAAAAGACGCTTTTACACCTGGGACCTGATGATAGATTTGATTTGGCAGTAGTGTTCGTGGTGAGTAAGAGCTTGCATTCTGGAGTCACACTGCCCAGGTTTGAATCTTTGCTCTTTATTTACTAACTTTATGACCTTGGGAATGTAACATGACCTCATTGTACAACCTCATGTCTTACTGTCTATAAAGTGAGCATTAAATGTAAGCTTTATATATTGTAAAGATTAAGAGGTGTAGTAACATGTAACTTTGAGTAGTGCTTTACATGTATTGAAGATAGTATATGTTATGTTCCGTTGAGTCACCCGTGACTCGTAGCGACCTGTATACAGAAGCTGTAAAGCCTGCCCTATCCTGAGCCAGTCTCCCTGGCTCCCGACACACCTATCCCCATTACCCCAGTTACTGTGTCAATCCACCTCATCGTGGGTCTTCCTCTCCTTGACAAATATCCACTATTATTATTGGCTTTTTGCATAACTCTTAAAATAACCTTTTAGTATTACTTACCTAAAATGTACATATGTACTAAGATATTTGGCGGATGTGCAGGACTGTGCTACACCTGACGGGACTGTTAGTGTTCCGGTCCTGCCCTGTATGGCCGTTTGTGCTCACCAAGCCTTAGGGGGACTGTTAACTTGCTCCCCACCCATTTACACAACGTCCTCTAGGGGGAGATGTGAGCCCGCTGAGAATCTCCAGAGTTGACTCAGAAACAAGACCTCCAGCCAGGCAGCAGATAGATGAGCAAAGCTATAATGCGTATCTTTTTTTTTTTAATTATTATTAAATTTTATTAGTTTTAGTGAACATTTACAGAGATTTTGGGTTTTCATTCATTCATTGTTGTACTGTTTTTCTCTACCCTCCTCCCCAGTTCGTTCTTCTTTCCCCCCCCATGTCTGTTTTAATTGTCCAATTGCCACAGTGCTTGTCAAAGTCAGTTCTGATTAACCTCCTTTGTCAGTGTATCCTTTGCCATTCCCTATCACTCCTCCCTGAGAGAGACTTCACCCTGATTCATAAGGAAAAGGGGATGGCGTATTCTCTTAGCTACTTCCTGCTGAAAAGGGACGCTGTGGGTTTCAGGGTGAAGGTCTTCTCTCACTACTCTAAAGGGCCCCTTTGGCAGTAGGAAACACATAGACTATTATGGAGATTGATTTTGGAATTTAGATGCACTGTTATCAATTGTGCTTAGCCGTACATGTTCATATCCTTGAAGATGTATCATGGAAGTGCTAATGCGTATCTTTTCAAAGCTACGTAGTGAGTATGGTCTAGCTGTTGTCTGAAGCACAAGGGGGAAAAGAAATTCACGAATTCAGCAAGTATTTCAGGGCCTTCTACGTGTCAGGCACAGTTCTGGCACTGATGCTACATAAACTGACTGCAGAGATTTTTCCTTCTTGTTTAAGCACCCATTTGTCAAGAGTGCCAAAGGAGTGTCCATCCTGCGGGACTTGATTAACGAAGCCATGGATGTGAAACTAAAACGCCAGGAAGCCCAGCAGCGGGAGGTGGACCCTGAGGATGAGGAGAATTCAGTGAGTGGCCAGCATTGCCTGGGGCGTTGGGTGCCCATGCTTGTTGTTTTGAGATTGCAGAGGCCGGTAAGGTGAATGGGAGATGGTGAACCAGCTGGTGTTGGAGAGTCTTCTGTTACGACTGGATCCTATCCTGACAGGTTCCTATCCTGACCAGGTCCTGTCCCGACCGGGTCCTGTCCTGGATCGAGACTCGTTTGAGGCATTCATCACATCATGCTGAACTTTTAATTACTCTTCTTCCAATGCCTCTGGGACACTTGTAAAGTTTACTTTCCTGCCTCCATGTCTCATAGTTAATTTAATGAGGAAAGAGAAGCTCACGTGTGAGACTTGATTCTTCCATACCCAGTTATGGCACCTACATTCACACCAGACCCTGAGATGCTAGGGTCTTACCTCGGCTTCTTGGGGTCTGTATTACAGGTCTCGACCAAAAGGAGGATGGGAGAGGGGGAGGTCCTTGTGGGACATGGCTGAACTTGGGATCTTTGTGCAAATAACATAATTTTTAGTTCTACAAAACAAGTTCAGAACATGATTCCAGAAGTACGTGCATCAAGATGAGTCAAAGTCATTGAAAAACAAACAAGCCACATTTTTCTTTTTTTATTAAGTTAGTCCTAACTTGAGAGTCTCTCTTTTTACAGGAGGAGGATGAAATGGACTCTGGCACGATGGTCCGAGCCGTGGGCGATGACATGGGCACTGTCCGCGTCGCCAGCACCCTGAGTGACGGAGCCAATACTATGATTGAGCATGACGACACGTTGCCCTCACAGCTGGGCACCATGGTGATCAATACGGAGGATGAGGAGGAGGAAGGAACGATGAAAAGTAAGGCTGATAAGATATGCTTACTTCTTTTTTTATTTTATTTTATTTTATCATTTTTGTGTGCGTGTACCGTCAAATCAGATCTGACTGGTACAGGAGGAGATTGTCCCTCCTTACCCGGCAGAGCATCTGATGGATTCGAACCGTTCGCCTCTGGGATTGTAGTTGCAGCTCCTTGCCACTAGGCCACCAGAGCTCCCCTAGATATGCTTACTTCTTAGACAGACCATCCACCATTTTTTGTTTTAATAAAATTTTTTATTTTAATTGTGATTTTAACAGACGTTTACAGGAAAGTTAGATTTTCTTTCATTCACTTTTTTTTTTTAATAGTCATTCATCGTTGTGCGTTTACATACCTCCTCCCAGTTCTCTTTGCGATGTACCTCTCATTCTGGGCTATTGTCATACATATATTTCCTAATCATATATTCCTTTTATTTCTTTTTCTGATTTTAGAAAGAAAATGTTTATATCATAAGGTGTTTATAAACTCCTCTAAAAAACAGATAGATTTAAAAAATTGATACACATATTTATCTAAAAAGCAAAAGTGGGGGGGGGAGTCTGCAAAATACAGAGATTTGTATCATAAAATATTTATACAAAAATGCTTGCATACAGTAAGAGTAAGTTACACACCAAAGATCTTGATTAAAAAAAAATTCTTTTCAGGAGGGTCTCTTGTGGGTTGATTTGTTTTAAAAAAAGGTTTAAAATCTCTTAAAAATATTTGGAAGTGTTTTAAAAGACAAGAGTCTTGATGAGCCAGGCATATCATGTATTCCTTTTAAACAGTTCTTTCCTTCTTCTGTTAGAGAGAATGTAGCTTCTCCTGGTCTGTGCACTTGTGGTTCTTAAGCTTTCTTCTGTAGCTGCCGTCGAAGGTTCTGGTGGGCTTGGGAGGACCGAGAAGGGATCTGCTGGTATGTGGGGTCAGAGGTTATTAGGGATCAGCAGTGAAAAGGAACTTATTTTTGAGCCTGAACAACCTTTTTCTCATTGAATGTTTATTCCTTTCCCCTTGATCCCTACCTACAGGGAATAAAAGCATTGCCCTGGTGTTGCCATGGACATCTAAATTTTAAAATAAAGAATAGTCTTCAGCTAGAATAAAGCTTGACACAGCAAGGTGACATGGGGACGCCAGTAGAAGGGCAATTTTAACTCACAAATTATCACAGATGTTGTTTGACGCAAAATTTATCTCAAATTATAATGAAATTCTGTGCTGCTTTGTACTGTTCATATCTTCAGTCTGTTTCCATGACACTTTGCTTCTAACTCTGATGTGCAAACACTTTATCCATTACAGATGACTGGATAAGTGTAGAAGCCATCAAGTCCCTTTCTTTGTGCTGGATATTTGACAAAGCCTCTCTCAAAGACCCTTAGTAAGCTTGCAGAAACAGAAGGTACATTTTTCTAACTCTAAGTTTGTGGCATTGTTAGGATGTAGTTTTTGTTAAGTGCCGTCGAGTTGTAGATGACTCATAGCGACCCTATGAACGAAAGACCTGAGCACTGTTTGTAGAGTTTCCGGAGGCAAGCCATTTCGGAAGTGGATGCCACTCCTGCTTCCATGCTTGTTTTAGTCCGGAGGCTCCACCAAACACTGTCCACCATGGATAACCATTATCACGTTTGGTACATGAGTGTCGCAGTGTTTAGCATCACAGCAACTGCGAGTTACCTCACTGTACAGCAATCACAGATCAGTGCTATACCACCTAGAAGAATGTTTGACAAAAAACAATTAAAACCAGGCTTGAGGGCAAGGAATTAAAATGTTAGGATAACTTGGCTTTTTCTGGGCCAGCAGAGGGAGCTCCATGATAATTTTTGAGTTAAAATTGCCCTTCTGTTGGCGTCCCCATGTCACCTTGCTGTGTCAAGCTTTATTCTAGCTGAAGACTATTATTTATTTTAAAATTTAGACGTCCATGGCAACAACAGGGCAATGCTTTTTATTCCCTGTAGGTAGTAGATTAAGTACCTCATACTTGGCAGACTTCAGGTAAGACAGAATGAAGTCAGCCAGAAACACCTCGAAGTGCTGAAGACTTTTCCACCCCCTTCCCAGGTCTCCCGTGACCTTGAGCCAGACTTGGGGCCCTCGTTCTGCAGTGTGGTCCCACTCACGGAGTGTTAAAGCCATCATCCCCAAAAATGACTGTAACCAAGGAATTGAATCAATATTTTTTATTCTTTTTAAAGTGTTTTAATTTAGAAATAGAAAAAATCTTGGAAGAAAATAAAAAAATGTGGCAAATTTTTACTCCACGAGTTTCTCAAATCCTTTCTTGTTCATCACTTCTCACGATGAAAATAAAAACCAAACCACGTTTAAATATTTTTAATGAAATGAACATTTCTTTGTGCAGACCTGACTTAGTAGGAAGAAATATTTTATGTATCAAAGAAAGTATTAATCAGGACATAGTACGGCTTTTACTACCTTTTCAGTTCTTTAGTTGAATGGATTTTTTCCCCCTTCCTTGTTGACTCTCTAAACCCAACCCAACCAACTGCCCTTGAGTTAATTGTGACTCATCACACCGTCAAGGGCAGAGCAGAACCCCAGCCTGGGGTTCCCAAGACTGTTAACTACAGAAAAGGCTCATGCTATTTTTAAAGAACTCTCGCCTGCTTTTCCTTTTCTTGATTGTTCTGTTACTGAGTTGCAGTTATTGTTATGTACCATCGAGTCAGAACTGACTCATAGCTGACTCTCAGCAGTCGCTGAGAGGCAGTAAATCCCACGGGAGATGACTGCCCACCTTTTCTCCCGTAGAGAAGCAGGTAGGTCCTGACTGACTCCCTTTGAGTTGGCTGTGCAGCTCCTTAATGCCAAGCAACCAGGGCTCCTAGTAGCCTAGTAGCGCGCCGATTTGTGGTGGTGGTGTTGTGTACTGTTGAGATGGAACTGACCCATAGATGACCCTCCGTTGGGTTTTCAGAGGCAGTTAATCACGTGGAGGAGATTGCTCATTCTTCTTCTGCAAAGCAGCTGATGGATTCAAACCACATGCTTCTGGGATTGCAGTGCAGCTTCTTTCCACTAGGCTACCAGAGTTCCCTTGATCTGTACCAGATCAAGTTTGTCTTTTTGGCACTAGTTTTTGTTAGTTTCTCTTCATCGTCAGTGTTTTTCTCGCAATTTGTGGCTCGAGCTTCAGTGTTGCAGCAACTTTCCTTAGACGGCAGCTTTTACTCTCATGATTGAGTCATACTTGCTCCCTTGTTGCCATTGACTCCTCTCTGATGCTCCACTGGGCTGTTGGGAGGCTGTGTGTCACACGGGAGGAGATGGCCCATCGTTCTGCCTCAGAGCTGGTGGAGGAGTTGAACCTCTGGGTTAACAGTGCAGCTCCCTTGTGGACTGTCCCACGGGAGCACCAGGAGATGCTTTGTTGCCCGTCCTCCTTGCTCACCTCCAGGCTCACTGGGACCGTGGGAGGCAGAAGCTGGACAACTGAATGGTAGATAACATTGTTTCCCCTGAGTTAGTTTTCAAATTAGACTCACTAAAAGGACCAAGTAAAAAATTATTTTAAAACCTACATTTAGTGAATAAAATGCTAGTTTTTCTTCCTCCCACAAAAATACCACATCAAACTGTTGTCGATTCTATTCTAACTAATAATGGCCCTCCGTCGGTGTCCTGAGGTTGCTGTAAATCATTCTGCCATCTCTCTGTGCTTCTTCAGTCTATCTTGAGGCTACCCATCTTTCTACTGTGGACCCGCTGGTAAATTTGAGGCTGTATTAGAATTAGAACTAGAATTAGCAGTCTGACACATTAATGCTCTATTCCGTGAAAGCTCGCAGAGTTTTCTTCTAAAACACATTCATTTCTTGGAAATAGAAGTTTGAAGTACAGCGACATGGTTAAATTAGGACAGCTCCAAAGCACATTTGAGGTTAAGTTACTATGATGATAATATGTACTTAGACACAATAGCCAGAAACCCCCAATCTTGTGAAAGCACCTGTTGTTGCTTTGTGTTGTCTCTTTTTAAAAACAAAGGTTTTTGCACAATGACTTTACTTCACCACTCTCCGTCAGATACCTGTTTGGGAGCTGCATAAGATAGAAATTCTTGACACACAGCCAGGTTTTTTTCCACCTGCAGTTGTTTGAAGGAGGCTGTTTCAACATTACTTCCCTTGTGTTTTATCGGTCTTGTTCTCTGTGGCTCGGATTAAAGCATTTGCAAGTAGTCATGTGCCGCATAAAGTCCATTTGGACAGCATCCAACCACCTCAATGCCCCTGATCCCATAAGATTATAATAGAATTCAGAAATGTCAACCCGAGAATGAGACATAGTGGGTATGACTTAGCATGGCAAATGCACCAGCCTCCTGCACACAGCACACTCAGCTCCTGTCTTTGCAAAGTGGTCACATTGCCAGGTATATGGTTTATATAGTACATGTATAATCTAGGATATATCTTGATAGTCATAATGAATGCCTGGAATGCTGGCCTATGTGTGTGTTGTACTTTCTAGCGTCATTTTATTTTATTTTTTTTATTTTATTATTTTCTCTGTGTGTGTACCGTCAAATCTGATCTTACTGGTACAGGAGGAGATGGCCCCTCCTTATCCGGCAGAGCATCTGGTGGATTTGAACCACTTATATCTGGGATTGCAGTGCAGCTTCTTGCCACTAGGCCACCAGAGCTCCCCTCTAGCATCATTTTAATGTGAACTTTTTCTTTTTTATTTTTTTTAAATTTTAATGAACGTTTACAGAGATTTTGGATTTCCGTTCATTCATTGTTGCCTTTTTCTCCCTTCCCACCTCTCCCCCCTAGTTTTCTCTTCTCTTTGAAAAGTAAGAGAAAAATTCTTTCATTGGTACACAACCCCTTCTTCCCCCCAAGTTTTTCCTTCTTAAGAATAAAAAAGTTGACTGCATAGTGGTGTGTGTTTCAGCTTGAAGATAGTGGCTTCCAATTCAGTGTATCTCAAGCATCTCTTGAGGGTGGTG